CTGGGCCACACAGAAAGGTATCTTGGGTTTTTTTTAATTTTTTAATTAAATATTATGTATTTTTAATGGTTTGAAACCAGCTCAACAAACAATAGGGGCTTGATTCTCGGCTGAGATAAGGAGGCACTACTTCAGTGATGTCAATGGTGTTGGATCTGGCCCTGTATATTATTCTAGGCCAAATTCCACCCTTACTCACATACCCGCAGCTGTATTGGAGGTATAACTAAGATCATTGGAGGCAACGGCTTTTATGGTTGTAAATGAGAGCGGAATTTGGCCCACCTACTATAGATCCTATATTAGGCCTAATTCAGCTTCCACTGAAGTCAATGGGAAGATGCCCCTTTCCATGGGAGCTGGATTAGGTCCCCTCATTCCTTTCTTACATTTTCAGATGCAGGATCTCCAAAGTGCCCTGGCCTAAATTATCCAAAATGACTTGTGATTTGGATGCCCAACTTGAGGCACCTTGAAGGTGACTGCTTTTTAGAAAGTGCTGAGCACCCAGCCATGGAAAATCAGGCTGCCCTTAAGGTGCATCAAGTTGAGCATCAAAATCACAAGTCACTTTTGAAAAGTGAAGTCCCCATCTATGAGCCAAATTCTGCTGAGCCAATTAAGATGCTGCCAAATGAGGACTAGCCGGCAGGAGCAGATGGACTAGTGAGGGGAAACACCAGCAAAATGGCTTCTAGATAACATGGAATGGAATTAGTGGCTCTTCAATATGTTCGAATATGTATCTTAAATACAATTCACCTGTATGTTATATAGTATCTTCCATGCCAACTACATGGATTACAGAACAAAACAATACACGTACTTGAGAGGTGGCATAAAGCCACCAAAATCTAGTCTGGATCCAGTTTACGATTTTCTGAACCTCCAAAGTTTGGATCTGGGATTTTCGATTGTGTTTCTCTAAAAGAGTTAAGCAACTGCAGAGGGACAAGAAAATTAAAGTACTCTGAAAAGCAACTATGTAAAAACAGCATCTTCTCACTCAGCAGATCTGCTCCTTCTGTGAATATGGAGCCGCACCTGCTTCTTTGAATGACAAAAATAATCTTTTACTCCTCACTAGCCCTGCAGAGCCAACACAGCTAAGAGAGGGGGGGGGCTGGATTCTAGTCCTTCTACTGTGTCGCTAACAGTGTCTTACTGAGAAGGAAAGAACCCAGTTGGACTCTCAGATCCCAGGCTGTGTTTGCAGCGCTGGCAGTTAGAAAGCAATATTGTTTTGCTTGTAAACTGAGCACATTTGACACAGAGTCACTGAGAGACAATAAACATGGAAACCCAGGGTGCCATTTTACACTCTTCTTTCAGACCAGGCTCTCACTTTGGGCCTGCTCCAAAGCCTGTTAAGTCAATAGGAGTTTTTTGATGAAGGCCTCATTAAGAAATAAGAGGGATCTAAAGCAAGGATTTGTAAGTCATATAAATGAAGAGCTACCAAGGCTGAGATATAGGCAGGTGGTTCCAGATAGCAAGAGTTGCAGAGGAGAAGGCTCGTGCAGTATGAGGGGTGAGATTGTACGAGAGGACAGAGATGAGGCCAGCAGAGTAGGTAGATGTACTATCACTACGTCACGCTGTGTTCTTCTCCCCTGTACCCAGCCCTCCACATCGTCAGTTGCCTCAGACGAGAAGGTCGATTATGTGCAGGTTGACAAAGAGAAGACACAAGCCCTGCAGAACACCATGCAGGAGTGGACTGACGTCCGGCAATCAGCAGAGCCCATTAAGAGCATGAAGCAGTAATGGACGGGGCAGATGGGGACAGCCATCCAGACAGGCAAATGTCCAACGGGTTTTCCCAGGCTGGGGTTCCCCTGGGTATGCGAGCTCACTTTGGGGTTGCATTTCTACAGTACTGTTGTTTGGGTCTTTTTTTTTTAAAGAAACTTAATTTCAGGGGAAGACTTGGCAGATACTGTTTGCCAGTGACAAAGACCAAGTACTTGCAGTGGCTGGGTTTGTGCTATTACTTTAGCTGCTGGCTATACTGTTCAGGAACTTAAAACTTAGCAATACTGGGGTCACAAATGCCCAGCATGTCTTTTGCTTACAGCTGTTATTAAAGCCACCTTGTACCTGCTAACACTGTAGTATCTTTCTCAGTCTTCTTCCGTACTGTACACCTGAACTGTGCCGAATGTATACTGGTTTGGTGGCGTCTTTTACAGGACACAGATTCCCGCTCCATACCATTGGGTGGTCCTGACCTTTTCAACCTCTTCAAAAACAATGGGCAACCGCCAGGTCTAATTTATACTTGTTTTATTATCAAATCGCCTGTCAATAATGACCGACATGCGTTTGTAACCTGCAGGGGGCGCTTCTCCATCAGGCAGCATGGCTTGTGTGCCAATACCTGTGGCCATTCTGTAGCTTGCAAAACGCCCAGACTGACCGACTGGTTGAGAGGACCTTAGACCTCCAGGGCTGACCTCTCCTCCCCCACAGCATACACATAATGTATCAAACAGCAAGATTTACTGAGGTGCCTCTTCTTTTTAAATGGGTGTTGATGTGGGAGGGTGGGGGGTTCTAAAGTCCCCAAAATGAAAGGCTTGTGAAAGGCAGGATCAGCTTGTGAAAGCAGAATTAAAGGACTAGAGGCTTGAACTCAATGGGAATCCTTTCACTGACTTCAATAGGCTCTGGATCTGGCCCTGAGGGTCAACTTCTGCCCAGGGCGGCAGCATTTGCAGCCCCATTGGGAGACAATTCTGCTGCCGTTGAAGTCAGCGAAAGTTTCGCCATTGATTGCAATGGGAGCAGGAAAAGGCTCCCCTGAGTCCGAGTGGAGAATTAGGCCCATGTGTGACTTGTATGGCTTAATGATGAGTAAGAGGAATGGGATATGGGACTGTCGACAAGGATCTGGAGGGCGTAGATACTGTACCAAGGAAGGAGTGGAATTGTTTAGAGGCCCAAGGAGGGAGAGCTAGGTGTAATGTAGTGGAGTTGAGTGAAAGAAATGTAGGCTACTGGTGAGATCTTCAGCTGGGGAATAGTCTCCCACGAGGAGCCAAGGCAGTCCCATCACTTGAGTAACCTAAAGCTGTGAGGAACGTGCTGTAGGGAACGACTGTGCATTGGGCCCTGTGCCTTCTTCCCCCATCTCTGGTTGCCTCAGTCTGGTGGTTTGCACAGTGCGGTGCCTCAACACTGGGTCAACACTACAGTAGCAATTGGTGTTGATGAAATTAACAATCCTCAACTGAAATGAACAACGAGCACCTAGTATACATAGGGCAGTGAGGTCCAGGGTCTTGACTCATCCGGCACTTTGGGTTCATCTTCTTCTAAGCCCTTGCCCCTCTGAGAGGAGTGAGAAGGGAGAACCTATTGCCCAGATAATAATCTGTAAACGCATGGATAACAATCCATGACCCCGTAACAATATGGAGGAACAATGATCGACATGCAATGGTCTGATTGCCAAACAGAATGCTAGAAAGATGCAAAGCACTGATTTGGACAAACAGCATTCTGTAAGCTAAGAGTGAACAGAAGGATAAACCAAGAGGTTAAGATAATAAACGCAATGATTAAAGAACTCAGAGTGTCTATTCGGCCCCTACTCCCCCCTCCCATTGGCAACAGGGATGGATGACAAAGGATGAGATTTTCAAATGGGCCTAAACGAGTTAGGCACTACAGCTGGCCAGAAAATGGAAATCCATTCCCATGAAAAAGTTCATTTTTTGTTTTTATAATTGTCCTGAATTGGGATCAAAAGTCCAAAATGACATTTTCACAGGAAGGGATTTTCAGGAAGTCAGGGGGAGAACAGAAAGTGGCATTTTTTGGCTTCCCAGCTGCCCACCAGGGAAGACTCTTGTCATTTTCACTTTCTCCCCACAGGCAGAAAGCGAAACAGCAGAAGCCTTCCAGACCCACAGCCGGGGAAGTGACATTTTAATTTTTCCGAATGGAAAATTGAAATTTTTTGGCAAAATTGAAATTTTCCCACAGAAAACAAATTGTGATTTTGCAAAATAGGCATTTTCCATCAGAAAACCATTCCGATGGAAAATTCCCAACCAGCTCTGTTAGGCACCCAATGCCCCTTGAATGTGCTAACTCTGGCTGAGTAACATGTGGGGGGGATTGTCAAGACAACATCACATATATTGTGTTGCACTGACGCAAAAGCAGTAGAGTAGTGGACATTGCAAGGCTGGTTCTAAAGTCGTAGTGGTGCCAATCCCAGTTCTTTGACTATAGACAGCACTGCTACTGTGCATACACAAACAGCATGCCTGTGAGGCAGCGATCGTGATGGACGGCCAATGCTACTCTATAAAATCATGCACATGTCATGTTTACAAGTGAGAGCTGTGCATTTCCTTGCAGCCTCATGCTCGTATGACTGCCAAGGTGCATGTGTGCTGAACTAAAGCCACATACAGACATTGCCATCATCAGCAGGGGACAGAATGCAGAACTGCCAGCAACAAAACCACAGGTCCCTACCACTTGAGCGACAGGAGTTTCTCCATTAGTAGTAAGTGGCTGGCTGCTGTAGTCACTGGGGCTAGCCAGGGCCGGCTCTAGGCACCAGCAAAACAAGCTGGTGCTTGGGGCGGCACATTTTTAGGGGCGGCATTCTGGTGCGGGCCAGGCCGCCCCTAAAAATGTGCCCCGGCCACCCTAACTCACCTCCGTTGCTGCCACTCGCACGCCGCTGCTCCGCATGCCGCTGCTCGCCCTCCCTCCCAGGCTCTCAAACCCGGGAGGGAGGGAGAGATCCCGAGCGGCCGCGGCGCGCGAAACAGCTGATTCGCGCGCCGTGGCCGCTCGGGATCTCCCCCTCCCTCCTGGGTTTGAGAGCCTGGGAGGGAGGAGGAGATCCCGAGTGGCCGCGCCGCACGCGCTGCTTCTCCCGCTCTCCTAGGCTTGAGAGCCTGGGGCGAGGAGGCAGGGCTGGAGATTTGGGGAAGGGGCGGAGTTGAGGCGGGGCCAGGGGTGGGATAAGAAAAAAACGGGGGGGTGCGGCCAAAATTGTTTTTGCTTGGGGCGGCAAAAATCCTAGAGCCGGCCCTGGGGCTAGCTATGAGAGGGAGACATGATAACACACACACGTGCATACACAGGGCCAGTGTATTACAAATGCACGGTCGTACCATGATATTTGCAAACACTTTCAAATTGGAATGCCAATTAAAAACAAACCCAACGGCCGATTATTAAAAGACACAGAATGAAACGTACAAGAGCACACCACAAATAACATAGCCCAGGCTGACACTATAAATGACGCCGTTCACATTTTTCCAACGCCTTTATTACACAGGCATTTGCCTTAATTGTATAACTCCTGGTGCAATCCTAGAAGCATCATTCTGAAAGCCACTAGGCTGAATAAAATGTATCACCTGGTGCTATGGGGCTTTCAGATGCGCCCACAGTATCAGAACAATACATACGAAGGCTGAACACCCTCTGTTCCCCAGGATAGGGCTGAGGTCTATTGGCAGGGCAGGATGGTGGTGCCTGGCCCGTGCATCCACAGAGAATGTCTGTCTCCAGGACTGACCATCTGGTGCCTTTTAGCAGACATTAATTAATTCTCCCTGAGCCTGGACTGACTTATTCACATTTAGTGTCTGCTCCAGAACGGGTGACAAACAGTGTCAAGCTCTCTCCCAATGTTCAACAGTCAGCGAGCTTCATCTCAGGGGCCGTTCCATCCAAGGGCTTCATGGTAGCTGTCTGGGTGGAATTTACCCCGGCACAGTGGGCCAGCATGAGGCCTGTGTCCCGCCTAAGGCCTATTTTGGGACAGGGCCCTGCTGTGAAATTGAGGTCTAGCCTCGCCTCCTGGCTCCGAAGGGCAGGGATGTTTGGCTCCAGGCTTGTAAGCCCAGTCCACGTGTTCGCTATGAGGAATGCCTCGGAAGGAGAGTTAAAATACTGAGCCATGTTTACACATTGAGAGGGGGCTCATACAACTCAAACCATTGACATCAGTGGAGCTACTCCTGGTTATAGTCCAGTGTAAGCAATAGGAGAATCGGGCCCATCAGGTGCCTTAAGACAAGCAATCCAGGGCAGAGGACCCAGATGAAGGCCCTCAGTGAGGCGCAGGGCTTTGTCTGGGCTTTCTGTTTTGGGGTGCATTTAGGGTGACCAGATAGCAAGTGTGAAAAATCGGGATGGGGGTAGGGGGTAATAGGAGCCTATATAGGAAAAAACCCCAAATATCGGGACTGTTTCTATAAAATCAGGACATCTGGTCACCCTAGGTGCATTTCACTTTGAGTGGGGAGTGCAGCTTTGCCAATGAGTTTGTTCTTTTTCAGTTTTTAAATAAAGTTCCTTCAGCATCAACAAGAAACCAGTGGCACTGGAACACTTTTAATAGTGGGGGTGCTGAAAGCCAGCCCCCTTACCCCTGTCTGACCCCTCACCCTCCAGAGCTGGGGCCAGGAGCAGGGCCATGTCTCCCCAAGAGGGGGTAGGGGGACCGAGGCTGGGGGCGGGCACGGGGACAGGAGAGGAGCCCCGGAGCTGGCAGCCAGGACCCCAAGTGTGGGGCCGGGAGTGGAGCCCGGTGTAAAACCTGGGGGTGCTGCAGCACCCCCCGTGCCCCGAGTTCCCGCCCCTATGCAAGATAATAATTATTGCTAATTATTATTGTTTGGGCATTAACAGCTCTTCCAGATCTGCCCCTCCCCTCATCCTGCAATGAGCACTGCATGACCCTAATGGATCCCATTGTAGGATGCTGCTCTTTGAGACCATTATGCTGCCTTGCAAAACTGTCCAGAAATTTTACCAGCCCAGGCACATCTTCTACTCTCCTACCCTTGACCATGCAAATGGCTGATGATCATGAAGAAGCTATAAGGAAATTTTGCAAGGCTGCCATGATGGTATTTTACAGGAAAAATAAAGCAGGTGTCATAATGGTCCACATAAAAAGAATACTAATCACAGTGGTGTTGCAGGAAAAAACGAATAGATGGGGCCAGCATAGATCTGTGTCTTTCATAGGTCTGTGAGTGCTTTGTTGCCAGCAAGCTACTCTGTCCTGCATACAGCGTCTGAATCTTTTTGCAGTGCGACAATACAAGAAGCGCATGATACGTTGTGTTTCTATAGCCCCTTTCATCGTGGAGCTCAGTGGGCCTGGTCCAAAGACCACAGAAGTCAGTGTAAAGATTCCCATTAAATTCGATAAATCCCATTAACAGGATATTGGCAACCCTTGTAGTCTAAACATTGCAGCACTGTGGTACTTCTTGAGACCCAGGAAGTGGAAATAAATGGAAACAAAAGCAAAACTGATTCAGCTATTCTCACTCGCCCAGTTGAAGGGATTTGCAAAATGTAACAACAAAAATGGCATACGCATTGGGAAACAAATACCTTTTTAAAAATTATTTCAATTTTAATGCTCTAAAAATTATCATTAACACAGAAAAGGCTCTTTTTTTAACAAGATATGATTATTGGCCTTACAACGTCCCTTTAATTTATTAACCCTTTAGTTTCATTTCACCCACCAGTGGAATGCAGCCACCTCTGGTGCGCATCACAACTGCTATTTTAACAGCACACAGCAGTACCACCCCACAGTTTAGGACAGGCTCCCTGCCTGTGTGACTTGTAGCCTGCATGCACGTATACTCAGAGCTTTGGGAATTCACCAGAAGATGCATGATCAGAAATTCATTTTCTCTTCACATCTACCAGGCTGGAGAGAAGTTGAACTTGCCAAATGGCCACGTACTATTAGGATGCTACTGAATATCTTGAAAGCCAGGGAGCTGAAACAGGAACAGCCTGGGCATTTTATGACTGATGTCAGTGGCACCTCAGATACAATAGCAGATGAGCTGTTCTGTGTGGCAGTCCCATTGTGCACGCGATTGCTTTAATTCCACACTAGAACATTCAGTCAAATGCAAACATCTCTACTGTTGTGACTGGGAACAAGACTTGGAGTTGGTGATCTAAGTTTCCCACCCTGTCCAAGTAAATTTTTAGTACATACGTGTGTGTGTTCTGCTTTACTTTGAAGGCAGCTACAGACCTCCTGAAACTGCTGGGTGCATCTCCTGCTCTGCTCACTGGTGAGCGCCCATTATGTTCTCCCTTTCACGTTGTTCAGGAAGGTGGCGTGTTCCTCACATGTCTGTTACACAGCACAGTGCACATAGTCAGTGCATACTCAATAATAACCTGCAACCTCTGTGCATTATGGTGCTCTGCCTTCAAAGAAAGGTACATTGAGGGGCCTAAGTATGTTGACCTGATCTAGGTAGCTGCTGTGACAAAAGAACTCACTCCTGGTTGTTCAATCCCTGGTCAATGTTTGTGCAACATTTCTGCTTAAGCCAGCCTGAAAACTAACAGCTTTAAATGCGTGGGCATCAATGACTTTGCCCTGAGGGAATTAGTCTAGTGCGTCCCATCTGCAGTGGGACAAGCCAAGGAAGAGTGGCTTCTTGGTTAGATCTGGGTATTTTAGGGAGTGCAATGCCTTGAAAATAATTAATCTTAAATGCCAGTGAAAGGCTCGGCCTGATTCTCATGCCAAGGCCTCCCGCCTTTGTCATCCCACCTAAAAAAAAATGGGTGTGTGGTGATGAAGAGAGGTTGAATTTTTGTCAAGCGCTGTGCCATTTTTTTATTGTTAAGGTATAACAAGATCATGGCACAAAACCCTCAGCCATACCGTGCTCAGCAGATATTTTTTAAGGGCGCATGTATCCGAAAGCATGTATCACTTCTTGCAAGTTACCAGCTATGAGCTATCCACACCCTTGGAAATGCATTAGCTGCCTGTAGCTGATTTGTTTAGGGTTGACGTTCAGTGTTGGGTGGGAAATGAATTGCCTGCTGCTATAAATTGCTTTGGGTTCTAGAATTAGGCTTGCGCTGAAGGAGGAGAAAGAAAAGGAGTGTGTGTATTGTACAGGGGAAGAGCGGCGTGATTCACAGACAGAGCCAAGCTCTCGCCCTATACTGTGTGGTTGCTGTCGGCTGGGGTGATTTAAATCAAGCCGGATGAATTTAGAACACTGTGCTTAGTTATGGACACCAGCCATGTGAAGGGTTCCCTGGCCTGTCTCTCTGGGGAATTATGTAAGAGGAGGAGCAAGTCCTAATGGTCTGAGAGTAGAACTGGATATTAGGTCTATCCTGGTCCTGACACTTAACCCCTTCTTTGGGAACCCCTCTGCCTGAGTTTCCCCCAGGAATAATAAGGGGTCAGCAAAACAGACCTGACTCACAGGGATGTGGTGAGGATTGCTAATGAGTTAAAGCCCTTTAAAAACACAGGCCCTGATTCTGCAAAGGGCGGAGCACCTTCAGCTCCATTGATTTCAATGGGGAGCGGAACTTGCTTGGCATCCTGCAAGTTGAGCCCCATCCAACTGTGGGGCCTTATCCCATGAAGTTCAGGTGAGCTTGTCCCACAGAACGCCAGCTGTCAGCAAGAGCACACTTGGTAACAGCCCAGAGGTGGCGGGTGAGGAGCCCTCACCAACAGACAGTGTAGCACTGAGGCGCGGATTCTTAGAGGTGCTTTGGAATAGGGATAAACAGCCGCCCTGGTATCTGCATGGGAATGGTGTAACGTTCCGGGTGATCCCGTTTCTGTGTCCCCTTTTGTCTGTGAGGAGACAACACGGCTGAGTCTCGGCGTGTGGTGCCAGAGCTTCGCTCCGAGCCGAGAGGGGCTCTTCTCCCTCTGCCCAGTCTCCTGTGAGGAAAGAGGCCAGAGTCCGTGCAATTCCTCCCAAGCCGCTGAGATGCAGAGGAGCCTTTCCACCCTCCCAGCAGTCAACTCTGAGGGAGGAGAAGCCCCAAGCCCAGACCTGGCACAAGGGGAGTCGCCCCACAATAACAAACATGGTGCCACCTCCTGACATTGCTTTATTACGTCTGTATCAGCAAGACGAGCAGGGACTGGGAGTCAGGAGACCTGGCTTCTCGTCTCAGCTGAGCCAGCCACTCACTGTGGCCTTGAGCAAGTCTCATAGGCGTGGTCTACACTGGGGGGGGGGGGATCGATCTAAGATACGCAACTTCAGATATGAGACTAGTATAGCTGAAGTTGATGTATCTTAGATCAAATTAAGATTACTTACTTTGCATCCTCGCGGCGCGGGATCGACGGCCGTGGCTCCCCCGTCAACTTTGCTTCCGCCTCTCGCACTGCTGGAGTTGAGCAGTCGACGGGAGAGCGATTGGGGATCGATTTATCACGTCTACACTACACGCGATAAATCGATCCCCCATAGATTGATCGCTACCCGCCGATCCGGCAGGTAGTGTGGACGTACCCTGAGGGTCTGTCTACACTGTGATAAAAAAACCTACAGCACCGAGTCTCAAGCCCCAGTCAGCTGACTCAGTCTCCGGCTGCTGGGCTAAAAATAGCAGTGTAGATGTCCAGGCTCGGGCTGGAGCCTGAGGTCTGAGATTCTCACCCACTTGCGAGGTCTCACAACCCAGGCTCCTGCCCAAACCTGAAGGTCTACACTGCAAATTGATAGCCCCACAGCCGGAGCCCCACAAGCCCGCGTCAGCTCACCCAGGCCAGCTGCAGCCATGCTGCAATGTATTTAATGCAGTGTAGACATACCCTTACTCTTGCTGTGCTTCAATTGCCTGCCATGGAAAATGGAAAAGGTGACTTGACTGGCCTCAGTGAAGTACACTGAGATGCACAGACAGATGGTGCTGTGGAACTGCACATTATTATTATTTATTGATTGCCCGTTGCATCATTAGGTGACATGTTGTGAGTGGGCAACTTCGGGATGTGATGACAGGAAGTGGGGATCACAATTAGTTTTGTGACCCCCGGCAGCTCTGTTCAGTTACACGATGGTTCCCCCAGTTCTGAGTGCACATGGAAACCAGATGGTGAGAGCCAGGTGTTAGTTAGTGTCTCTTGCTGTGAAGGGTTTTGGGTGCTTTAAAATAAGCCAGAGAAAACTCCCAAATCTCTAGAGCATTCCTTCTGCCCCAGGAGTGAGAGAACTGGGGAATTTTCTGCAGAAGGGGAATTCACATGTTGTTTCAATGGTGTTGCACTTGTTGTATCCCATCTTATGATGTAGCTAATCAGCCAAGACGATGAAGTTCAGACCCAGGTGTTGTGAGTTTTACTTCCATATTGTAGTGGTTACTTTTGGCTGATAAACTGTGCAGTTCCAAGGTGGATTTGGACTGGATTCCCCGAAAGAGGGCAGAGACAGTAATGTCCCGCAAAGATCCCAGCTACATTCCTGGCCAGGCCTTTGGAACAACCAAAAAAAATGTTCGCCCCCCCCCCCCCACGTGAATCCTACCCAGGTTTTATAGAGAACCAGGTACATGCTGGAAAGTACTTTAGTCTCTGCAGTGTGACTCCCCAAGCAATACCAACATGATCAATAAGGCTTCTACTAACATACCTCACAATCAAGCCACAGTGCTTTGTTTTAAGGAGCTCCCAGGGGACAGAAAGGAGTGGAGATTCTCCACTAAATATATGTGTGTATGAGCTCTGTTTAGAATCAGCCCAAAGTCAGCCCTGGCTTCTATACAGTACCTTATTAGGCCTCCTCAGTATAACATGTATGAAACAGGACCAGTGCTGATTGGTAGCCATAGCTGTGACGAGAGAATTCTGACCTACCCACCCACAAGTCACAGGGTCATGGTAAATTTGAGCTTGTATATTTGAAGGCTGAAGGTTCCAGTGCGCCCCAAGTTGTTGTCCCTGTATCAACCACTTCCTTAATTCCACTGCAGTTTTTCCTTTCAGGGCTCTCCTGCGCTATTTTAGTTGAAGTACTTTGGCTCAGAGCTGAAAAGCACTAAGATGCTGTTATTTATGCACTGATATTATGACTGTTAATGATATTCCTGCAGCTTGACAGCTGTAGTTTTATTAAATCATTTCTTCCATGGCCACGTCCGTGGCATCCTTCCCTCTGTTGGTCTGTCCTCGGTCTCCTGTCCTCTTGTCCGTCTCTACAGTTCTTTGGGATGTATTGTTGATAAGGTCACCACAGCACTGGTTCACATGGGAAAGACCCAATATTTAAGGCTTGTAGGGCTGCCAAAGTGTCGTGAGATATTTTCCAAGCCAGCCCAATGTGACACCATAGTAACATTTATTCCCCCGTGCATACAGATGGCAGGATCACCAGTTGCAACACAAACAGATAGAACCCAGGACTGTCAGCTCTATCATTTGAGCAAAATTAGATTTTCTGTCAACTCGCTAGTGGTAGTAGGGCTTTTCTATTCTGTATGGCCACTCATTAGATGGTAGGGTGCACAAACAAATTGGAGTGTGGGCTACACTCTAGAGCAGTGGTTCTCAACCTAGCTACCATTATGAGCTGCATATGCGGCCCAGAATGTGTTATGTGGGTTGCATCCAATACTACTTATATGGCCACGAGGCTGTCACATGGGCCGCAGCTCTGTGCTGACGGGCCGCAGGTGGAGAACCACTGCTCTAGAGGGTTGATCAAAGACTAGGCACTAAGACAAGTCATGAGTTCTCAGCCCATCTCTTCTGCTGACTCCCTCTGTGGCTTTGGGTGAGTCACTTATCCTGCCTGGATCTCATTTCCTTTCCCATTTGTAAAATGAGGATAGCAGTACGTATTTCCCTATCTCAAAGGGTGTTGTGAGGGTTAATTAGTTAATGTCAGGAGATGCAAAGCGCTGTCAGTAGTCTGTACATTACTGGATCACTACATGATGATGATGCACCTTAATGTTACGACACCAAATGTCACAATTCCATCCTGGAACCAGGATGTCCTACTGGATAAAACCCGTTAAAAGCGCTAATCCTAAATTGTGCAGGTGAAGAAAGGTGGTGGGAGAAGGCTTTTTACACAGTTTTGAAGCTCTGTTGTCATATCATACAAGAAAACATCTGCCACTTTAATGAGCAATTAAGAGCTCCTGGCTGGAGAGCAATGAATATAGGGAATGTAACTAGGGACTTGGTCCTGCATCCATTGGAATTAATGGGAGTTCTGACACTGACTTGAGTAAATTCAGGATCAGATCCTTTGAATAATCAGTAAGGCCCAATCCAATTTCCACTGAATTCAACAGACTCCCATTGACTTCAATGGTAATTAAACTGGACCCATTTACGTTAGGATAGCTTTTTTAACTGCTGTGAGGCGTGTATGACTGGCAGCTTTGAAGCTGTTGAATCTGCAGCATATTCTCAGTGATATTTTGTGTGTTCCAAAGTGTGTGACTGTTCTTAAACAGGATTGTGGGGTATTTTTTTCCATTTGTAGAAGTCAGAAAGGACAAAAATAATCAGTGGCAAAATGTACAGTGTGTGTCTTGTGGTGTCGCTGTTTGAGTTGGTTATTAATTTTTCAAATCACTGTGGACGACTAATCACTTAAGTTATTAATTTATTCATGGGTTTTTTTCTAAAAAAAGAATAACTTGAAACACTTATTTATCCTGTAAATTGCTCTTGAGCTTACCCTAGATAATATGTTTTTGCTGTTAATAAACATGGTACATGCCTGAAGCAAAGTTGATCTTGTTTTTAACTATTGTATCACAGCAGAGAAGCAGCAGGAAAATAAAAAAATAAAAAAATTGACAACCACAATTCCTGAGTTGTAATGTTATTTGAATCTGAGGGTAAAGACATCAATTAGTGAACAAATGGACTCAGGCACCATCTTTGACCTTTCATAAAATCATTTGTGTTGGAAGAAGCCTCTTATGGGTTAGCCATAATTATGGATAGTTATGGGTTGTTTGCCAGAAGCTGGGAATGGGCGACAGGGGATGGATCACTTGATGATTACCTGTTCTGTTCATTCCCTCTGGGGCACCTGGTACTGGCCACTGTCAGAAGACAGGCTACTGTGCTAGATGGACCTTTGGTCTGACCCAGTATGGCCGTTCTTATGTATCCTGCACCATGGCAGGAATGAGACAGCACTGGCCTCTGGTGAGACACAACCAGCCAGTTCTCCAGCTGGAGTAAATTGGCATTGTCCTGTTTTAGTTAATGGAGATATGCTGATTTATACCACCTCAAGATCTGACCCAGGACTGGGTATAAAATGAGGCTCACACTTATCTCATGGGCTGAGGGTAAGTGGGTCGCACTGGGAGCACAGGTTATTGTACAAAAGGAATCTCAACAGGGGAAAAGTGCAATGGGTCCCAACCTACCCTGCTTCCCAGCATGCCAAAACCCTGCCTGGTGCCTGCCACTGCATCCCATCTGGAAGGCTTAGCCTCAGTGTAATAAATAACATGGGACTGGCCATTGGCCTATTGGTTAATGTGCCTTTTCTTCACTCTCCTTCATGCTGCATTTTTAGAAGATCTTGTCAGCATGTTAATCAGTTTCTCTCTCTGCCACAATCAGTTTTTCACACTTATTTCCTCCTGTGGAGATTTTTCTCCGTCTCAGTTTGTTTGTGCTTTTCCTTGTCTCACTCTTACTAAACTGAGCTCAGCCCATGTCTCAACTGTGGGGAGGGATATTTTGGCGCAACGCACCAGGGCAAACCCCTGTTCTTAGGAATAGAATAAAAGGGGAAATGGGGAGGCAGGCACAGAGGTATTCTCCAAATCTCTGACTGCTTTTCATACCAAAATGAAACAGTGTTGCCAACTCTCATGATATTGTCATGAGTCTCATGATAATTAATGTTTTCCTTAAAGCCCCAGCTCCTGGAGTCAAGTGGCTATGTTATGGTTTCAGCTTTCATTCTTAAAGAAAAAGTAAGTTTCTAGCCCTAGTGGCTGTGGATAAAACTTCAAAATGGGACCCCAGTGCATTCTAAAGGCTCAAAAAGCAGAAGGCAAATAAAAAGAACACCAAGTCTATTATTTTTACATAATCTCATGATTTTAAAGCCAATCTCATGATTTTTGGTGAGCCTGATTCATTACTTTTGAACAGTTGGGGTTGGCACTATTGATGAAATGCCACTCACCACAGATTAGTGCAGATCTTCATATTACAGTTGAGTTTAGTGTTTGTGGCAAGCTACCATGACTGCCAAATACCATTTGGATTGGGTAATATTTTACATTGACTTGGTACAAAGGTAAATAGAAACACAAGGTGCCAGGCAGTGCAGCGTCAAGGCCTACAGGTCCCACTGACTTCAATTGGAGTTGGGGGTACTTGACACTTCTGAAAGTCAGGCCCTTTTATCTTTTTGTGGGAATGATCCTCTAAGCAGAATGGGACAGTGCAGAGAGAGAGAGAGAGAGAGAGAGAGAGAGAGATGCTATGTAAGAAACCCTTCCCATCACAAGCTTTGTCTTCACAACTAAAACGGTGTGTTTTTTATGTGGTGGGTAGCTAACACAGGGGAAAAAACACAGTGAAGACAAGGCAGCCTTAGCCCCTTATTTGTGATTGACATCACCTAGTTACCTCACAGTAAAGCTGAAGTGCCTGGTCTTCTCTGTATTTTTACTTCAGAATAGCTCAGGCATGTTAGTTAGCTTGAGGTAAAAACACAACTTTTTTAGTAGTGAAGACAAGGCCAGAGAGAGCGTGAGAGGGAGCTGGAGCGAGGGTTGCCAGGCGGCCGGGTTTCGAATGGAATGCCTGGTTGAAAAGGGACATTGGCGACTCTGGTCAGCACCGCCAACTGGGCTGTTAAAAGTCTGGTTGGCAGCACAGCGGGGGTTTGGGGCTAAGGTAGGCTCCCTGCCTGCCTTGGCTCCGCATGGCTCCTGGAAGCGGCTGCCAGCTTCCTGCGGCCCCTAGGAGAATGGGCAGCCAGGGAGACTCCGCGCCCTGCCCGCGCCCCGAGTGCTGGCTCTGCAGCTCCCATTGGCTGGGAACCGCGACCACTAGGAGCTGCAGGGGTGGCACCTGCAGGTGTGAGGGCAGCACGTAGAGCATCCCTGGCCACCCGTGCGCCTAGGGGCTGCAGGGACCTGGAGGCCGCTTCCTGGGAGCTGCAGTAAGTGCCACTGGGACCTCACATCCCAAATCCCCTCCCATACCCCAACCTCCTGCCCCAGCCTGGAGTCCCATCCTTCACCCAAACTCCCTCCTGGAGCCTCCCACACACACCCCAGCCCTAACCCCCCTCCCACACACACACTGCCCCAGCCCGGACCCCCCCTCCTGCAACCCAAACCCCTCATCCCCAGCCACACCCCAGAGCCCGCACCTCCAGCTGGAGCCCTCACCTCTCCCTCCCGCACCCCAGCCCCCTGCCCCAGCCCTGATTCCCCTCCCGCCTCCCGAAGCCCCAGTCCCAGCCTGGAGCCCCCTCCTGCAACCCAAACCTCTTATCCCCAGCCCCAACCCAGAGCCTGCACCCCCAGCCGGAGCCCTCACACACCCCCGCACCCCAACCCCCTGAGCCAGCCTGGTGAAAATGAGTGAGTGAGGGTGGGGAGAGCGAGGGATGGGGGGGGTGTGGAGTGAGCAGGGGCGGGACCTTGGAGAAGGGGCAGGACCTTGGAGGAGAGGCAGGGCGGGTGGAGCAAGGGTGTTCGGATTTGTGCGAGTATAAAGTTGACAACCCTATCTCGTGCTACTACACCTATATATAAGGAATACTAAAGTTCCTTTAGGTTTACAATCACACGTGGAATGATTAAATCAAATATGAATAATTTCTTCTTTAGTCAGACACAAACAAGTGAAATGCAAGACCTTAGCAATATTTATGCGAATATTTAAACACACTACGCATACATCCGTGAGATACCTGTTTCAAATGGAGAGAGGTAAATAGTGTGTCCCTCAGAGGTCTGTACTGGGCCCAGTCCTATTTAACATATTCATAAATGATCTGGAAAAAGGGGGAAATAGTGAGGTGGCAAAATGTGCAGAGGATACAAAACTACTCAAGATAGTTAAGTCCCAGGCAGACTGCAAAGAGCTACAAAAGGATCTCTCAAAACCGGGTGACTGGTCAACAAAATGGCAGATGAAATTCAATTTTGATAAATGCAAAGTAATGCACATTGGAAAACATAATCCCAACTATACATATAAAATGATGGGGGTTTAAATTAGCTGTTACCATCAAGAAAGAGATCTTGGAGTCATTGTGGATAGGTCGCTGAAAACATCCCCTAAATGTGCAGCGACAGTCAAAAACGCGAACAGAATGTTGGGAATCATTAACAGAAGGATAGATAATAAGACAGAAAAGATCATCTCGCCTCAATATAAATCCATGGTATGCCCACATCTTGAATACTGTGTGCAGATGTGGTCGCCCCATCTCAAAAAAGATATATTAGAATTGGAAAGGGTTCAGAAAAGGGCAACAAAAATGATTAGGGGTATCGAATGGCTGCCATATGAGGCGAGATTAATAAGACTGGGACTTTTCAGCTTGGAAAAGAGATGACTAAGGGGGGATATGATAGAGGTCTATAAAATCATGACTGGTGTGGAGAAAGTAAATAAAGAAGTGTTATTTCCTCCTCATAACACAAGAACTAGGGGCCACCAAATGAAATTAATAGGCAGCAGGTTTAAAACAAACAAAAGGAAGTATTTTTTCACATACAGCACAGCCAACCTGTGGAACTCTTTGCCAGAGGATGTTGTGAAGGCCAAGATTATAACAGGGTTCAAAAAAGAACTAGATAAATTCATGGAGGATAGGTCCACCAATGGCTGTTAGCCAGGATGGGCAGGGATGGTGTCCTGAGCCTCTGTTTGCTAGAAGCTGGGACTGGGCGACAGGAGATGGATCACTTGATGATTACCTGTTTTGTTCATTCCCTCTGGGGCATTGGTCACTGTCGGAAGACAGGATGCTGGGTTAGATGGACCTTTGGTCTGACTCAGTGTGGCTGTTCTTATGTTCTTAAATGAAGGTGTAGGACTGTAGGGGTGCATAGGGTAGGTAGGGCTATGCCTCTGCGTATCAGAGGACAGAATCAAGACCAGGCGTCTTTCTCTTGTTAAAGTGAACTTGGTACTGGTGAAATATGTCCTGGAGATGAGCTGCAGAAAGCTTAACACATGGCCAGAGCCAGTGCAAAGTTCCTCATGCTCTCCCACTGTGCATCAGCTTTTACCTTCAGGAACCACCTCTGGGGTAGCTCAGTCGCCATCCCAGACAGTCACTGACCCATCTCTTGAGACTGAAAACAATGTGGTCATGGACAACTGGATTGAACCCAGCAAGTTAGCAATAAATACAATTATAAGGGCATCTTTTTTTCAAGATTGAAACCTCCTTTTCTATAGTAAGGGACATTTTAGAAGTTACTTCTCACCCACCCTTAGAGAGGCAGGATGGCCTTATGGTTAAGGCTCTGTAGCAGGACTGCAGAGATCTGTGTTTAATTGCTAGGTGTGCCACAGATTTCCTTTTTGACCCTGGACAAGTCACTTAGGCTTGGTCTACACTAAAAAAATTAGGTTGGTTTAACTACATTGGTCGGAGGGAGGGTGTGTGTGAAAAATCTGCACCCCTGAGCAGCATACTTAAACTGATCTAAGTCCTTGTGTAGTCCATCAACCTAGCTACTGCCTCTTGGGGAAGTGGCGTATCTATATGTCACACCGACAGCCCCCAGTTGTGGGCAGGCAGGATCGAACCTAGGGCCTACGGAGCTTAGTGCGTGAGCCTCCACTGCATGAGCTAAAAG